CGCAATTAGCACAAGAAAAGATAATGCCGAAAACACTCACAGCGCCTGCATGTGATTTCCAAGCGATACGAATGAGTAGTTCAAAGACTGACGAAAGTAACGAAAAAAATGTCTTAATACTGCGCTGACACACGATTAAAGGGAGCAATGTGAGAAGTCACGGGAAAATGCGGAAATTGGTCAACATAAAATTTGGACTATGAGGGTAAAGTGTTTACACCTGCTTCTCTTTTAAAGGCAGCTGTTTTAAATTCCGAGAATACCATGAAGATGACCACGATCGCGGCCGCCATGTTATGGCAGCGCTCCACCAGCTGCGAACATTGTTAGAGATTGTTTGGCCGGAGACTCTGTCCTGGCTCGTCGACGTGTCACAGGCGTTGGTTGATGGCGCCACTATCACCGTCTGGCTTGCTGCCGCAGTGGTTGGAAGAGAAGCAGTTAACCTTTTAGATAGTTCCGCTTCGACGCGTTGGAATACTATCGGCCATCTCTATTCAATCAGCGGAAAAGCATTTTGCAAGACTGAAGGCATGGACGCGAAAGAAAATTTTGATACTGCATAACTTACCAATTCCTTTTCAAGGCGAGCTAATGTTTCGCGACGAGCCACTTGTTCCGGAGTGATGTTGAGTCCGGTTTGTTCGCATATATAACTGGCAATCAGCTGGTTCCGGCCTGTAACATTGTTTGTGTGCATCATATTTTATCACGTACTGTAGTTAGATTATCACAGTTGATCACTTATGCTTTGTATGGCGTAATTTGCGTTAAATTTAAATGTGTTTATTGATATGTACCGTACTGTAAATGCCGAAAATCAAAATTCAGTGGAATTAAACATTGCAGAAACATTCTAGTATTTCTGAATTGCCTTCGATTGCTTACTTTTTATCGAATCGTCGTTGTTCATATCCGTAGAATAGTCTTTTTCCGGTGGGTGAGATTTTGCTGCCTCCCGGAAAGCATTCTCCACGTCGGGAGTCCAGCGTGCTTCGTTACTACACACTTCTTGGCTAGCTGAGTCGGTGGGGGTATCATCTTGCTTCCTGATCTCCTCTTCCATTATGTTTTTTGCGATCATCAACAAATATACAGATGGCAAATTGCAATTCGTTCTCTGTTGCAGGCTTCTACGGCGGTGAACGGTGTATCGTGAATGTACAAATGCTGTAAACAGAACAACCGTTTTTTGAACAAGAGATTACAGTGGCAGAACAAAAATTTGGAATCTTCAAAATCCACCTTACTGTGTCAGAAATATAAGATTCGGCAGAATTCAGATCATAAATTACCGCGGTCGTTCACTTGTTCTCAGGGTTGTACGCAATATCATGTAATATGAGTGCATGCATAGGCCATAAGGGCAGCAATAAGAAAAAATAATTAGTAACAATCCCGAGGAAAACGGCAGTTACCTTGTTTTGATTAGAATGCTCGAGCATCTTTTATTGGGTACAATTTACTTATTATTGAGAAAAAATTAAATCCCTGTATTGAGCGCAAGCACTGTATCTGCATGTACAATATGTCCTCCTGGGGGTTAAAACGTCGAATGTTTATGTATGTATCTTACGCTGCCGCAGCATTTCGATTACGTACTGTAATATCAGCCAAATCAACACATTGCGTAAGTAAAGCAGCAGAACGCGCTTTTCCAGTTTAATAGTTCACGAATTCTTCGACCCATGAAATACAATAATTCGACGATTCAATACAGCTGTACTTACAGTTTGGCGTCCGTAAAATGCGCAGTTCCAAGGTGAAAAGAGAAAACAAGGGATATATGCCAATTCGTATGATGGAGTGTATGTTAGAAATATTATTTTAAAACAAAAACTGCTGAATTCAGCGGTTTGAGTATTAGTAAGTTACGGTAATATTTCTTGATGATTTCAGGATATATGCAGCAAATTATGTGTACCGAGCTTAAACATTACTCATAACTAATAAGGACAGCATCGACGATTAAGGGGCGCCGTATATCTGTACTGCGCCAGTACCGAGCGGATGCTGCCTGCAAGTGTGAACTGTGGAGTACAGGTTGCCATTAGCATCCCATGCGGCTAGAAAATCAATACGAGGAGTACGAGTATATAATAATATTATACGCGCCAGTCGCCATTATCGACTGGATCTATCAACTTTTCACGTGGCCCGCGACTATAGAAGAGCAATGTGCATTGAGCAGTGCGAAATTGTATGGTCATACCGTAAATTCTAGCTGAGCCTGCCTGTTCTACTCTACCTCTCTGCTTGTTCAGCTACGAGTAGACTACGGTATAGTGAATACGATAAAGACAGCGTCTCTTACGTTTCTGTAATTTACGTTTCTTATGTTACTCTTACAGGTCACGTTTTTGTAATTTGCAGCAGTTGCTAACGCCTTAACTTATCTTTAACTGCCTTAACTTGCAAATTAGTCTACAATTTAATACCGGTGATACTTAATAGTGAGATTTCCCTTTATTTATTAATTAGTTTGAGCTTTTACGTTAATCCATTTAATTTTTTTAAAGTTTCAGAAATAATTTAAGTTTAATTATGTTTGAAAATTTTTTGTTACTTCTGATATTGTAAAATGTTTAAAACAGTAGTTGTGTCATTATATCGAAATCACTAACCTGCCTGCGGATCGGATCGGTTAATGTACAAGTTGTATTGGTGGCCCTGCGTTCTCCTCGCCCGGCCTATTACCTATGTTGACTTTATCGTGCAAGTGAAGAAGCGCTACCGGGAAGATTAACGGATATTAGTCACTAAGATAGCGGTCGAGTGTAGAACTAGTAAATAATTAGCCCGCTACCACGGTCTTCAAGCTGGCCTCCCCTTATGCGGGCGTATCTCCAATGCGGCCGCTAGCGGGTGTATGAGTCCTGTTAACGCCGACATGAGTGGAGAGGGTGTTCCGCCTCGCTGGAACACACAGCCGCTCCCCACTAATCCTCCGCAGCACGACACGCAAGGTCAAATGGACGGCACGCCGATAATCGCTGCTCAGCAGAATGCAGATCATCTACAAGGAAGAGTCACTGAAATATGTAGGCTCAGGCACGGGTTTCAGGCACGTCTCCGGTCGAGCACATATGTTCTATTATTCACGTGCTTCGAGAATGCCTATGGAGTCGGACTATGGACTAATAACCCGTAAACAAATTGGAGTAGTATTTTTATCGATAATCGTGCGTCATTACAACACCGGCCAGCTCGAGGCTTGAGTTTTAAATTTCTTACAGAACCATTTTCCCGATGCTCAAGGTTACGATTACCCGTGCGTCTTTACACACTGCTTGCAGAAACCATCAACTAACCATGTCACTGAGGAAATCAACTGCAGTTTCCCGTTTGTGCTCAAGTACTGTACGGTGTTAGGCATTAACCAGCTGTCAGCGTATGCTCCGTTACCCAGTACATTGTGTTATCTAGGATAAAAATACAGTACCTTTTCCTTATCGCTTATCGTTTGAAGCGCAGACAGGTCATTCGTTTTCATACAACGCGCATCGTACGCATATATTTTGTATAAAAACTGAAGAAACAAAACTTCTGTCTGCCGCTGAAATTCTGTTCGTCTGGCCTACCGGTTTGGTGCTCCGACAAAAATGGAAACAACGTCGTAAATTGTGTGCATCCGAATAATATTCAAACATACCGGCGTTCCTGCTGAGCCGAAGTGCGTCAGCGAGTTGAGCCAATAGAATAAAATCGGCCGTTTGCGCCATACCGGCGCGAAATGCGCGGCAATGATGGGCATCGGACAGTAGCAGGCCGTGTACCACACAAACGACCCCATCAGCATCACGGCGATCTTCCGCTGCCGTAACCTTGCAGCCGTTTCCCGAGCACGTTCCTGTCGCGATCGGAAGATACTGCCGGCCACGCACAGATACAATGCGCCCTGTAGGCAAAAGGGCACGGTAACGCTCAATTCTATCAGGAATGGGACCATCCGAAGGGGATACTGAATGAGCACACAGGCACCCAGGACGGGACTGAAGCCATAATGTCCAAGGGCGTTGAACACGAAGGGGAAGGTGGACAGGCAGGCGATGAGACAGCACACTGCCACCAGGCAGACGGTTGCGCGGCGACTGGAGATATGGGGGTAACGACGGGGCAGGAGGATGGCGACGAAGCGGTTGAGGGCCAGGGCGACGGCAAACCAGTGGATGATGGTGAAGAGGAAGTGCCGGGGGAATTGCACCAGGACGCAGTTGAGAGGCGGGACGTGGCGGAGTTGCGTGATGAGGGGGGAGGTGGTGATAAGGAAGGCCGGGAGGGCGGATAAAGTATCCAGGCAGAGCAGCCCGATCACCAGCACGTGGGAGCCCTCGCGGAGGGATTGGTGACCGAGGAGGGTGGAGGTCAGGAAGAGGCCCGCCAGGAAGCCACTGCCGGAAACGGCAGACTGCAAGCCGTACCACCACAGCAGCGCATCGCGCTCGACAAATGCGATAACGAATAAACTTGAACTGTTGTTGGCCATTCCAAACCGCAGCGGTGTGGATGAAAATGTGGCAGTTGTAGTTGTGCGCCTGCCTAACTGCAAGCGGGATTGAGGTCGGCATCAAATGTGTGTGTATGTGTAAATCTTGCCTTCTTTCTGCCGGGAGCCCGGTGCGATTTGAGCACCGCTAGCGGCTTAGTTTAGGCCTCTGATCCTAGGATGGAGAAAACGAGATGAGCTCCGTTTGTTGTTATTGCCTTCGGTTGTTTTGATAATCCCAGCTGACGTGTTAATGCAGTCTTCTGTTCGTGTTTCCTGAATCCGCTCAACGCATGACATCCAGTCATCATTTCTAATTTCTCATCCCAACCTAATTAACTTTGTATGGTCGTGGGCGGTTTCCGCAGCGGAAGCGCTGACGGAAGACCTAGTGCGTCACATTAGTTGATATATTATTGTGATTGATGAACTCCGTAAATTACAGCCGTAGTGTCGTACACACTATGTATATACATGTAAATTGTAATATACAAGAAACAACCTCGGCTTCGCCTCCGCGTTTCTTGTGGTCAACAGCCACTTTAAATAAAATGGCCCGGTACATAGCGTCAAAAATGGGACACATACAGTAAAACTTTCGCTTTCTCGCACTCCGAATCACTTTTTTTGTAATACTTTATATCATTCGAAAGCTAAATGATTTGTATACATTGTTCTGAAAACCGTTTGCGCGCGCAACATCCGGTTGCCGAGATATGGCGTACTAAAATGGGCAGAAAATTTAAATGCATTGTTGTGTACCAAAAGTCTGGTTACTACCCGATCTTTTTGAAGCTTTGCTATAAAAGACACATGGCCATAAAGTCGAAAGTTCAGGTTCATAGCATTTTCACATAATTTTAAAATGAATTTTAAAATTTTTGAAAGTTTCAAGATCGGGTAATAACCAGACTTTTGGTACGCAACAATGCATTTAAACTTTTTACTCATTTTAGTACGCCATATCTCGGCAACCGGTTGCTGCGCGAGCAAACGGTTTTCAGAACTATGTATGCAAGTCATTTGGTTTTGGAATGGCATAAATTATTACAAAAAAGTGATTCGGAGTGCGCGAAAGCGAAAGTTTTAGTGTATTTATCCCGTTTCTGGCGCCATATAACGGGCTATTTCTCTTAATTAGTTTTCAATGAATATTTATTAGAATAACATATTTCGTCGAAACATAATCGGTACATCGTATTAGCGCAAAAAACCTAACGATCACCGTAACCGTTCACTTAACGGTCTTCGTAGACTGGACAGTACCGGCAGTTCGGTCACTCCTTCACCTAACGGGTTCCGTACACTGGACAATACCGGTAGCTTGGTCACTCGTTCGCCTAACGGGCCCCATCCACTGGGCAGTGGGCAGTACCGGTAGCTTCGTCACTCGTTCGCATCACGGGCTCTGTGCACTGGACAGGGCCGGTTGCTCGGTCACCCGCTCACCTAACGGGCTCTGTGCACTGGACAGTACCGGTTGTTCGGTCACCCGTTATCTTGTTTGCCTAACGGGAAATTTGCGCTGGACAGTACCGGCTGCTCGGTCACCGGCTCACCTATCCGGTCCAGTTTACTGGATAGTACCGGTAGTTCGGTCACCCGCTCACCTAAAGGGTCCTGTATACTGAACAATACCGGTAGCTTGGTCACTCGTTCGCCTAACGGACTCTGTGCACCCGCTAACTTGCCTAACGGGCTATTTGCGCTGGACAGTACCGGCTGCTCGGTCACTCGCTCACCCAACGGGCCCCGTACACTGGATGGTACCGGTAGTTCGGTCACCCGCTCACCTAACGGGCCCCGTACACTGGACAGTACCGGTAGCTTGGTCACTTGACTGGCCGCCACTCGTGCAGAAATGTCCTCAATGATAACGTTCGATATTACAGCTTAGGACTAAAAAGACGCATAACCCCATACCCAGATATCCGTACGCATGTTGCAAGTGCACTTGTACGACAACCGGATATTTTAGCTGAGTCGTACAGCGGGTTTTCGACTACGGCCGGGCTTTCAGAATATAATATTGACTTTGGTCAGTCTTTTCTGGTTTGCCGGCTCTGGTGTATCCCATTCGTGGCAATATAGATCTGATTTAGGTTACATATGTAGAGATACATGTAAATCCTTAATTATTAGCCATCATTGTGCTTCGGGCTAACGGCAAATCAACTTGCCGTAGAATTTCCGCCGTATTAGATGAAACTACAGACCGTTTAATAGAAGTTTACGGAAACGACACCATTAACGTGGCGCACCTGGCTATCCTCGATGAGATTGTCGACGAGCCACGAACGTTATGTTAGCACGTTGGCGGTCTTTCGTGAACAGCACTGTTCCTAAGCGCAGCTGCTCATCAGCTGCAGACTAGGGCTAGGCCAGGTGTTACAGCGTGAGAAGTTCATGTCGTAGCCTGCTAGCTAGAGTAGCTAGTACCTCCATGTCCATTCAACGGGCCGCGAGAATCATTTGTGGAGCGGCGGTGACCGTTGATTTCTGGATCGCTACACCTTACGAATTACTGGACGGCGGTGGTAGACGCCCATTAAAAACGAGTTAGTAGCATTACATAGGCACATCCTACGGAATCAACTCAGATGATGTGACATTAAAAAAATATAGAAACTGTGAAGATGTGACACAGCAACGCATATTTTTAATTATGCAGACAGAAATTTAAGAAATGGTTGCACGCAGATTTTGATTTCGGGTTATTTCCCTTTGGTAGGATATAACGGGCTGCGTGTGGGATAACGTTGTCTCCTCTTGGACACCTTCCACAGTGGAAACCGTCACCACGACGGTGATGGCGAGCCCGGCGCGAGTTGCTGCCGGTTACTCTGGCACCTGCGCTATCCCTGTCATCACCGTGCTCCTCGGCGTCTCCCTCGGCTGTTCCGTCTGGGTCACTCGCCACTGGCGAATTCCCCGTTGTACGCAACATCTCCACCACTGCCACCGCATTACAACCTGGCTCGGTTACAGTTCGACTATCTACATCGACAACGATGATCCCGACGACGATTGGCCGGAACGAGATCCGGATGCATTCGCTTGGCGATTCGTTGGTTTTAATTCCCTTCTCCTCTATGCCGGTTTGAGCGTGTTCGTGGCGTTGTGGGCGGTCTTCTCCGCGTTACCGGTAGTTATTGTGGCTGGACTGACTATTGCCTGTGTCTCGGCCGACAATGTGGCGAAGAAGCGGTTTTCCCGGCGACGTTTGTGTGCTTTTGCATGCTGGCTGCGTATTGCATCGGCAGGATTTGGGGGTTGTGGATGAACGGCACGCATTTGATGCAGTTGCACGAAATATTCAGGTGGAAATGCCCAGATTATGGAATTAACTGTTTTCTCAGTTACCGTAAGTAATTCCATAATTAACTGGTGAGTCCAGATCGTTCCGTTTTCCAAAACATTTACCCTTCAGGGCGTATTTTCTTTCAAAGGAATGCCACGGGAATGCTGCTTTTCGATCCGTCTTCCGCGGCTGGTCGCACACACGAGATCCCACACAAGGCGGAAGCATCGCCCGACCATCCGTCGTCCGTTCAGCGCCCGTCACGGGCGACCACTTTGTTGTTGGTGGTGCTCCCGAATCATTCCGGCTTGGTCATTGAAAGCCTCGGTGTGCTGCTCCGGCTGCCGGCTGTTGAGGCTTGGATGGAATCGTTCTGTCTTTTGTCATACCAGTAAGAAGAGCGGATCGATGTCCGCCACGGAACGCTACTGGATATTCGACAACTGCACCGAGTGCAGTACGGACAATAATTATTACTGCCGATCGGTAGAAACTAGAGAGCACTTAAACGATCTCCATCTGTGCTGGCTAGCGTGCCAGCTGCACTGGTTGACACCCTTGCACTTGTAGTTGCCCGAGTAACTGCAGCCACAGGATGCACACTACACACACACTACACACCGCTTATTACGTACTGTTCGGCGGACGCAGTGCCATTGACAAACTGTTTAAATCTGCACAACGGCTGCGCCCGAGCTGATAAATAATATTTGGCGACCACTACGTTCTTTCACTCGGTCCACAACCTTTCATTCCGCGCATTATAGTACCTTTTGGCCCTAGCGTTCACTTCGTACACGATATTTTCCGGCATTGCATTTAAACCAGTTAAACGATGTATTTCCACTGGCAAGTTTGAAGCAGACTTATTTTTACTTAATACTTAATTTTCACCACAACTGTTCTTTTCGAAATTATTTTGACTCAAGTTTAAGTTCGTTCTAGTTCTGTTAACATTTCGCAAACTACTGCTGCTGCTTCCATTTTAAATAAATAGCACACAATCCGTAATCAATCCATGGGCATAGAATCCAGAATTGTAGATGTGCACGTTATATTATTATGTACATACCCTTTTATGTTAATGTACCCTTGCAATATTTGCATCATTCGTACTACCATAATTATGTCAAGCGGAATTACATTTACCATTAGCTTAAAAATTATCGCTCTACCGATGCACAGCGTACAGCCGTGTGCACTCGAATAGAAATGTGTGTCGATTATTCTTGTCCGTCTGTAGGAAAGGTAGTTACCTAATACTCATAATCGTCCTCATACTCATAATCCTACTCATATTCAGTAAGTTATACTCATAATGCATATCATAATCATAATCATACTTCGCTCCTATCGGTCATTCATATTTCTGCTCATAATCATAACTTGTATCCGTACCACTGACCGTTAGTACGCAATCGCCGCTAAAAAAACAAATACTATAGTAACGCAAACGCAGTATTTCCCGATCGATCGATGGGAAAAATTTAAACGTCGAGATTAATATCTAAACTATAAGCTCAGCACGGATTAGTATTGGGTTATGAGTTTATGACCAGTGACAAATACCGCATTTAAAATTGTTGTAATACATATGTTCTGGGTTGCGAATTTTGTTAAAACGGCAACGGTTTAAGGAGAATTTATACGAGTACTATGGTAGCAAGACTGAAAACGAGATTTTCGAAATTCTACAGTGTAATAAGAATAGTTACACCTATTACTGGGCGAAAACTGAGTAAATCTAGGTAGCAACGAAAAAAGTTATTCGAGTTTTTTCGTTGCCGACCAGGAGCGATTTGGCGGGTTAGCGTATCCTTCTACAGTACTTCCACCTGTGATCAAACTCAGTGAAAAATGTGTTTTATTTACCGTAAACGAACCCATTTTATTTAGTTCTGCCACAATTTAACATATTTCAAAATATTTCAAACTAGTAAACTTGCAAATCATGTGCGGTGTTTTCCGATGATGCCTTTCCTAGAAGTTATATCGATTTTTTTGCGCAGTCTTCATTGTTTCTTCCCTACTCAGGCTTAAATATTTAGTTCTATCGACTCCATATTAAAAATCCATATTCTATGGGCCTCGTCTGATAGAATTCGGTTTTCTCCTCTTCACAAAGAGGATTTTCACAATGTAATTTTAACTTAAACAGCGTCTTGACATTGAATAAGATATAAGCAGGTCGTTGCCGCAGAAGGCAAGACGAATAATTACATATCACAATTAAGAACCACACAACGGAAATCTGAAGAAAAAAAGGAAGCAAAAATTCTACTAATAGAATGGCCAACGAACGAATCTAGTCGACCGGAAGGATCGGGTTGTTTAACCATTCCCTGTATCGCGTTTGCGGCTTTCGGCACCATCCCTGTCCATGCCACCACTGCCCGACGCTCGTACTGATCCTGCGCTGTGGTTGACGCGTGTTAAGGATCGCGCAGAGCCGGCACCACGAGATCTCAGTAAATTCCACTGCCAGTCGCGCTGTAACGGCGCTCATCCGCCACTCAAAATACTTGCGATATTCGGTGGTGTTGGTGCTCAGGAAGACAAGATAATCGGCAAGGGCCTTCGGACTGTCAAAATCCAGAACGTTAATGAAGGAATGCGGCGGGAACAGGGCGGAATAGTTGGCTCCCCCGTATACGACCGGCACCGCGCCGTTGTTATAGGCGCGGTTAACTTTCTCGGTGACATAGTCCTTGCATATACTGCAATAATAGGAAAAGTGCCCTTATCAGAAATACCGTTCCCAAGCTTCGGGTAAATTCGATGCCACATAATGCTGTAAATACTTTCTCATATTTTGTATTCGAACCTTTGTACAATGATCGTGGCATTTATCGCTATGGTTTACTTATTTGTGCAGCTGCGCAGATTTACTCCCCTGCAGTATTGCATAATGATAAACAGTGATTGAGATTACTTGAAAATAATTGGTCATTGAGAATGTAAAAACAATTTTTTTAAATTTTACGTTAAAAACAAGACCTGCTAAGTTGCGGCGCGGTCCAAACTTTTCGGGCCCAACATACAGAGCATATACCACATACAGTGGACGACAAAAAGAAGTTGAAATCGACCGGCCAGTGTGCGGTCGCGCCTCGTCAACTTCATTTTGTCGTCCACTGTAGCAGCACACTGCCATGTGCGTTCCTACCAGGTAGCAATATATAAGGGGACAACCGCTTTACTCAAACCATTTTCATGTTCAACTGCCGTCATTCAGCTGTGGTGTGACGTGGCTAACACGGCGCTTATGTACTGCCTGCGTAAACATGGCGCTTATGTTCTGCGCCGGATTTAACCACATGTACTGCCCTAACGTCACACTCCAGTCGGGTGACGGCAGCCGTGCCGTGAACTGGTTCGACTTAAATGGTGTGGCCCCTTATATACGAGCTCTGTACATAGGGGACACAACCAGGCATCTTCCACGGTCCACCTGTACTGCTGCCGTCACCCGATTAGAGTGGGACGTTGTGGCTCCACATGGCGCTTAGGTATGTACCGCGCCAGATTTATTTAAACCATATTAGGTAACTGCCGTAACATCATACTCCAGGCGGGTGAGGGCACCAATACAGGGAAACGGTGGAAGATGCCTGGTTTCGCCCCTTGTGTTAGAAACCAACACATCGCCGAGCAACATGCACCGCAAAAACCGATTTGCAGAATGAGAAAAATGGTTTTATTCACCGGCCAAATTGAATAGCGGCTTAAAATATAAGAAAATGATGGTCAGACCGTCAGCCAGCCTGTTGGTCCGACCGAAAGAAATGATGTCTTGAGTTTAACAGCGAATACTGCCTCAGAATTTAGGACCGTCACCCGCGCCTCTTAAATTTCTGACTATTTTACGGAAACAACTGACCTGTTTTCGAATGCAAGGTAGAACTTGTAGTTCACCAACAGTTTATCGCAGATTTCCGGCGTACTGATATTGCATTGTTTTGTGCCGCAATCGCCGTACACGTCTACGCTAACGTACTGTGCTAGGGTGGCCGTGTACACGTCGCGGCGGCTCGGCACCGAGAAACAATTGGATACGAATGTGACGACCAGCCCCGTTTTATTCCGTAGTAGTTGATCCAGTTCGCTACTGCTGTTCCACACCGTCGGCTGGAAAGTGCGGTAGTATAAATCTGATACGATATCCGAATCCAGACGGTATGTGAAGGTCAAATTGTAAAAATCCCGAATCGCATCCAGGTTGCCCCACGTATGTACCGGCGTTTCCAAGAAAAAAAAGATATAATACTGGGACGACCGGCGTTCCGCTGGCAGGTCATCCCATAAATGATCGCGCTCATGAAAAACGATAGCATCGCTCTGCGCCAAACGACTTCGGTTGTCCGACACGACACAGTTGGAGTATGGGCATCGCGTGATGCCGAAGAGCGCTTGCTGGTATATGGTATGGGAGGGTGTGACAGCACCGCCGAAGAACTTCGTCCAGAAAAGAATGTGATGTTCCGTGATGGTTTGGGTGACAGTAGAATTTGCCTGGAAAACCGTTTCCATCACCGGAAGGCTGTAATTTTTGATTGAAGGCTGGAAGGCTGGATCGGAGGTTTTCTCCCCTGACAGCATGTTATAGTAGAAGACACACAGTCCTCCGGAAAGGAACAGAACGAATCCAGTTCTGGTTTTTGTGGTTTGTGAGTCTGCAAAGGCGCACTCTCTGCTTACAGCAATACAACATACAGAAATATGACATTATTATTACAATAATAAAATAAATAATATAAATTTGATATATTAATGGGCAAAGCAGCTTGAATATAGCCGCCCTCCCAATTCTACCTACTAGTGCTCGCAAACCTCTACTCCTAATTCTACCTACTAGTGTTCGCAAACTTGCGAAACGCGGTATGAACGGCGTTCGTCATGTTTTCCCGACGTAATGGAAAATTTCATTTAAATGTATTGGCGTCAGATGCAAAAACCGATATTGTCCATGGGAAAAACTGGCTTTATTAAGACACTTTAGTAAAACATCGGCCTACCAGAACAACGGTAACGGTCATAACATAGAGGCAATGTTACATTTATGCTTGGAGACGCAGGCTATGAATCCGTGGATGTCTAAATAGTACACAATTATGGTGACATACAGAGTACGCTAGCTACATGCAAAAATTATAAATGGATGCGAATTGATTTACCAGTAATCGTTTAAAAATGTATAAATGCGGGAAGTGTTAGGACGCGGTATTTTCGGGCATGTGCTAGTAAAATTATTGGAACGCAGTCACGACTGCTTCCTCGACTACTTCTTCTTTACTATTTCTTCGAAGTATGTACCAAGTAAATGTATCAAGTACTGTATTTTATTAACAATGCGTTAGCGTTGCCAAGTAACTCAAAATCTTATTGAAAACTGTTTCGTTGAAAACTCCTGGTAACTGCCTTTTTTCTTGCAGCCTCTATAAAATCGTATGCAGCAAAAAGAAAATACGAGTATTTCCAAAATTCCAAAAATCGTATTCCCAAAAGAATACAACATAATTATGCAATAAAACACAATATACAATAAAGCAGATCTATAGTATGATTTACCGGCTAGTGAACCTAAGTATGAAAACAACTAGGACTGCGCAAAAAATTGAAATAATCATTAACCACTGGGCTTAACCGGAAAACACAGCAACAGCACATTATTTGCAAGCTTACTGGCAGCGTCCACTTCCAGCAGGTGCAAAATTAGAAACTTGCTGAACTGCGGCATAACTAAACGAAGTTCACGAATAAGGAATACAACAAGTTTTTCACGCAGATGCTAGTATTTTTAAAGCAAAATCGTTTCTCTGCTTACAATTCTGCAACCGGCACCGGCACCCCCAGAAAACGGCCGAAACTCGTGGAACGGTCGGGATCGATACGCGTTATTTTCCATTCCGCGAAAAAGCGCGTACCAAATTTAAGGGACAGATGGCAACCGATCCACAACACGAACACGGCCTCCGTAATGATCTCATGGTAGGCCCAGTTCAGGTCGCGGTTAAGGACCGACGTATGTCTTGGCAAATTTTCCCATTTTATAAAAATCTCGTCAGACTCTTACATAAACGAAAAAAAGAGAATATTAGTCAAAGGTCACGAAATGTGAGCTGGCTTCCTACCGTTTGGGGTGTCGGTATAAGTAAGCAGGCACTGTTCTGGATAGTTGAAGAAAGTTCGCGGATCGATACGTCGTACAACCTCTGGCTTTTGAAACTACGGGAACCTTTGGACCGCTAACCAAGAAATTTTTCAAAGATCTGTCAAAAAAGATTTGCGAATGTAGTGGTAACCCTCGGTCGGGAGAGTTTTTGCGTCAGAGAATCAGCACCGAGATACAACGCGGAAGTGCGGTGTCTGTCCTCGGAACATTTAATGAGATGCGAGACAACGAGGACGTTTTTTTAGCTTTTAGATTGGCTGATCGGGAATGATTAGTGCCCGATGTTGTTTTTCTTCTCAGCTCGGCTGTGATTTTGTTATTATTGAAATAAAGATAGGGAATGTTGAAGAAAGTGGTTCTTAGACTACGAAAAAAATGTTAGTTGAACAATTTTCTTTGCTTTACCTGAAGTTTGTTCTTTACTCCCAAAAATTATAAGCAGTGGCAACGTTGAGAAGCCATACTGAGCAGCTGTTACAGAAGCGCCGGCGTGGAGCAAGTAATCCTGAATAACTTCTAATTATCTAGGTGCAAAGGACACAATTTACGACGGATGTGGGCTTTGTTTATGTCTACGTAATATACTACATTAGGAATACGCCTTGGCAATGTCAGATCAATTTGGCAGGTTTTTTCGGAGCTTAAGGAACTGATATGAATGTAGCGCCAATGCGCGCGCGCAACAAATTCAGAAAACGTGAAAAATTTTATAGAAGTACCACCAGTTCAGTGGCTAGATTTAACAGCATGAATGCAACAGTCGTGCACCGTATTTTCCGATTGATATTTAATAATGTGTGTGCCCATCTTCGCCGGTTTTCGGATTTTAAACAGACAGCCTGTACAGTACAAGAAAATCCCGACGGCACAGAGTTCTTCATGCTCTGCGCCGGCCAAATGTAACAGGAAGGCTTCCGGTTCGTCCCAGCATAGATGGCACATTCGACACTGATACTTAGCGCTGCAGCGGCTCGGGGTCGCATTTTGTGGCTGAAACGACGATATTTCGGAAGCAGCCCCCTCGCATCTGTTCGGCGAATTACTGGAATTTTCCGTAATTTCTTCCTCTTGCCTTCGTTGGTCGGAGGAACATTGTTCAGATGCTCTGTCTGTTTCCAAGCCTGGTTTTGGGTTATCGGTTTCATATGAGTTCTGGGAACTAAACGGTAAAAACATAATAATTCATTTTATTATAAAAAAGGCTTTTTTTCAAAACATGCGGTTATTATCACACTGTTCAGCTATGTGTCAGGCATGCATGACAACGTTTGCCAGCACAATTGCATGTTATTATATGAATACTAACTACGTAACCAGGGTCCTCGACACTTTGCCGTTGTAACCAATTTTCTCGCGTTCCACACATCCAATCTGCCCGCTCTAAAGTGCTACAGATTCCTCTCAGTGTCGAGAGTGTTCCTGCATCATCAATTTTCTGGAAAGCCCACTACCCACAGTCCAGTGGTCACTCATAAGCTTGTTACCATGGTGGCCATTAGCTTAACATGGGCTAACTGTAAATGTCCAGATTGTTACTATGTGTTATTATATCGAATTGCCATTGAAATTAGCGAACTGCGAATAAGCAAAATAACAGGTACTGCTCACGTCTGTTTATTTTGTTCGTGCCTCCTTAATGTAATAGACATCGTGCCATTATTTAATACATATACAGTTAACCTTTTTACATGCTCGAAATCCTAAGACATTATTCATCCGTGCTGGGCTTGTTTTATTATTTACTTGTTTGTGATTATCGGTTGTTATGTAGTTTAATTAAAGAGCAATAAAAGAGCAGAATAAAAGAGACGGTCAATAAAAGAGCAGCACGTTCCTTTGTTACATAAAACTGTGTAGCTCTTGTATATTGCTAGTTTACCTTCCTGTTTTTTGGAAAATTGTTGCGATAGAGCAAAACACTAACGATAAGTAGAAACCTTGTTTGCGTAAGATTGGCTATAAAGTCCAGTATTCGTATTCATATGTAAACTAATGCTTGCTTCGGCACTTAAGATAATTTTACTGCACCATTCTTTTATCTTTACAGTATAGATTATAGAATCTTTATCGCACAGAAGGCTTTTTTAACGAGTCTACACCTTAAACGAACCCGCTTTGCTCTTTTTTGTGCTTTCGATCTTAACCTGCAGATTTGCTACGCAATTTGTGACGTAGGTAAAGCACATTTGGCAAGTTATAGTTGCGGCGGTGTTAATAATAACTTATTTATAATTACTTTTCCCGAAATTTCGAGGAATTTCATTGGACATACCGCTGCGGTCTTTATTGGCTGCGGTTTCTTCCTGACTAATCTCCGCACCTTCTGTAGTATCGCATTCGCTTTCGTTCTTTCGATCATCCTGAAAAGTGCTGGCACCGGCAGCTAATGCGCTTCCGGAGCTCTGCGATGGTACATCCGCTTGTCCGATTTGCTCATGTTGATGTCTATTCCATGGATCCCGTCTTTTGTTGGGACGTGAGATGCGCAAAACAGCGCCGAGGTTCGTAAGCGTGATAACTTTATATTCGTCCTTTGCTGGAGATTTCGAGGGGGAGCTGATTGACGCTGGCTCATAGATCGATATCGATCGGTATCGCGGTGTTACAGGTATAAGAGGTAAACTGGCATCCCTTATAATACTTTCACCCACAGCCTTGACGTTTAGTGTGACGCATTATTGCTTGTATCGACCAGCGCTGCTGGAACAGCTTGACAACAGTCGGCCGCAACGCTTCGTACCTCTTCCGATCCCCTTCCCGAAAGATTACCGGCCTCCCCGTTGCGTGCAGGACCTGACGAATGAAGTCGCGCGATCGCCCGAATTTCCACATTAGGTAGGAACACGAGCGACCATTGTCGAATTCGTCCAGGATCTGTTGCTCGTTTGTTGGAGGGAGGTCAAAATTACCCCCGGAATGCACGCTCGCAGCCGTTGCACCCGTGAAGCAATTTGCCTACCCAGGCGGCGCATTTGGTTCCGCTGGTAAATCCACCGGGTGGTTTGGCATTGCACTGCAATGCAATTCCCTAGTCTCCGGTAGCGGAAGTGGGCAATTCGCCCGCAACATGATTGTCTTAGGGATTTGTAACCCTCGGATTTCGTCTTGGCTGCTTACGAACGGCAGCTTTTCCGGGGAGTTCCCGTACCAATCAGTATAATTTATAATGCGATTTTACACGATCCACCAGTTGTCTAATCTAAGAAGAGAACTCCGTAATAATCGTTGCAATTCCACTTCCGTTCTGTAACGTTAATTTGATGGAGTAGGCCACACACCGGAACCTCAACCTTTCAAGCCTACAAGAAATATTATTACGTATTGCTGGAATGCTATTTCAGCCAATTCTGGAAAATGGCCCGGTATATACCGTCAAAAATGGGATACATACACTGAAACTTTAATTACACGGAGTCATCTTGTGTGCCGCGCAGGCGCAGCCCATGGGTTCGTCCCAATCTGGTGTAAAACGGTCTGATATTCATTAAAATGTTTTATACGCTTAGTTCTTCCTTTTCATTAAGGACGCAAGTAGAAAGAGTTGCTGTTGAATCGGCTGACTGAATCTGAAAAGAAGTGAGGACTTCGCAAAATCTTTCGCAACATATCCAAATCATGCTTTCACACTGGGAGGCTGCCATTTGTTCACTTCAACTTCACCAACCGGAAGCTGTTGGATTTCGTAGTTCTAAAGTTTTCCGTTCATTATTTTTACTAACTGTTTTAGTAAGTGATAAGCAAACAACCTTTCCGAGGAATTCAGGTTAGGTAGGAAGAAGTCAACTGCCTGAATTTCTGAATGATTACTTAAATGTGCCTCTCAGGCACATGGACGAGGACGAGTGTTAATCGTGACGACTGAATTCTAACAGTAGGTTCATTTTCCATAACTGCACAAAGTTTCTAGTAATGCCCTCATTTACTCTACCATGGAATATGTATACACATACTATGGAAGTATGCAAGTTTTTAAAAGAGGTACTCTGTACACTAATTAAGCTACAGTACTTGGGTACCAAGTTACGCTTCAGGGGTACGTTTAGCTCGGTAACCGGTAACTAACCTGGATTTAGCTAAACCGTTAAAATACGA